TGAAAGCTTCGGACAAGTTTCCTATGGCTTTATAATAATTTCCAATATTATTTAATGTTACACGTAAATCTGGATGGTTTGAACGAGACAATTTTTTCTTTTTTATTTCATATGCTAATTTAAAATTTTTAAATGCTTCATTCCAATTTGCTGTACGCATATTTAAATCATCGATATGATCATAAACTGATGCCAAATCTTCATGTTGTTTGGGAAGTACCTGTAACATCATTTGAAAATAGGATTCAGCTTTTGGATACCGATGCATATCCAATAGAAGTCGACCAAACAACAGATTAATATTACCATTTTGAAACTTTTTCCTAATTGAATCAATTCGTTCTTTTATTTCATACGTTCCTTCGTCAGTTGCTGTCATTTTTATTTTTCACACATTAAATTCTGTATCATAAGCAACATTTTCCGTTTTAAATACAGAATCAATATTAAATAATACTTCTCGTTCATAACTTCCTGCAAAATGTTCAATATCAGCAAATGCTATATTTTGAAGATTAGATGGTTCAACAGTTATTTCAAATAGAACAACTTTAAAACCTTCGGTATCTGATGCACTGAGAACAAATTGTGATGCACTTGTATGATCGTTAGATGTTGATAAAAATCCATTTGTTGAAATTAAACCATCAATATTTGCTGTGATATTATCAAAGTCTTTTATTGGCATATGTGCCTAAGCACGATATAGTGTTAAATGAGAATCAAATGCTTGTTCTTTATGTATATTTTCTATTTGTGTACAAAGATCGATAATAAAGAATCGAAATAAGTACCAAAGTGCTATGTCTTCAGTACGAAACGCTTGATTAACCAGTCTGTATACGAAACTATTACGAGTATACCAATTGACAGCCGTTACTGAAGTGTATGTATGACGAAATACTTCAATTTTTTCAAGTTCACTTTTATTTCGACGATAATAATCTTTACATTTTTTAAGCGTAATTTCTTTTTCTTGCTTTGTTTGTGACATTTGTTTTAACAAATCAACGAATAAAATGTACGAATAATAAGCACTCCTATTTCCTTCATCTTGCATTGACGCACTAGCGATCTAACAGACTTTAGTGTTTGATTAGTAAACAAATTAAATTTTAATGATAGTGATTCACGTTCAATGCAACTTTTAGTGTTTCATGTTCCGTACATACGTCAGTTACATTAGAATACCTACTCATAAGTTCAGTATATTTACTATAATTTCCACAAAATATAATAATAACTGATATACTATCTTGTGTTTTGGGTAAAATTTCTTTAGCAAATGAACCAGGTATGACCGCTAATAATTTTTTATTTTCACTACGCTTCATTTTTTCAATTCATTTAAGAATGTGTTTGAATCATCAAAAAATTTACAATGATCATTATTTATTTGTCGTGATGAAGTTTTGGTACGTAACGAGTCAAGCGAATTTTCTGTTGATTTTTCATCAAGCCATATTAATGTAAACTGATTAGCAGCTCTTCCATCATCTAATGATATCTCACGGTGTTGCACAATTTGTGGGAAAGCTAATGAATTACATTTGGAATCACATACATGGAAGTCACAGAGCCCATAGCGATTGAACTTTAAAAGAAAGCTAAACAATGGCGCTCATCTCATGATTATGAAGAAAACATATGCCCATACTATTGCCATCTGTGCCGGCGGACAGTTGCATAATTTTATAGGAAACCGAAATGGATAAACTATAAGTGTACAAATGTGTTCGTTTTTAAAATCATCGTGGCTCGGGATATCGGAGTTTCATTAAAAAAACTTTCATTAAAAGGAAGTTCAGTAAAATTTTTAATAAAATTCTATTGCAGTCAAAACTCCAGGTAACCGTCATTTTGCAGGAGACATTTTAGTAAAAGTATCAAGACTTTTATTAAAAAAATTTTAATGAAAATTCCGGTACTTTGATTAAAGCGTTTTTCTGGTGATGGGTGATATTCGGAACATCACTCAATCCCATAGCTCCAGCAACTGTCAAAATCAGTTTTTTCCATGACCTTTACCGGTAAGTTCGTCTTTCTCGGTCACTTACTACCTTATTAATTTCAAAAGATGTTTTGAAACAAATAAAGAATCATTTTTTATCTTCTTACCTTTTTCAAATTGCCTTTGTGCATATATAGATTTATACAGAATAAAGAAATGTAACTAGAAATTCTACCTAACTCGGCTTCACCGCATATTAATTAAATATTTGTACAATTTAGTCGCCAAGAGTTGCACAAAAACAGACTGTTGTATAGCACCAGTCATTTATTTAATAATTTGATATCCTTTTTATCTCGCCGTTTCGGCTCTTCACTGAGAAATTTTCAAAAGTAAAAAAGCATAAGCTATTAAACAGATAGAAGAAAATGTTCAAGATTTTTACCTGTTTCTACTGAATGAGACAGTTTGTCCAACCGTAACGTAGTAACATTTTTGACCTAGTATTTTCAAGTTTTCTGCAAAAATAGAAGTCATAGCAAGTTCGTTCTTGCGTCATTCGATGCAGCTCATCAAGTCCTACTTATTTAGAAAGAATGAGGTTGTTGGATCTGATTCTTCAGGAACTAGAGTGATTCTACGAAGCGTAACGCAGTAACAAAAAAAGACCCCTAAACACCAACCAATGATCATAAAACGGAGATTTTCTCGCTCATTACTGTAGCAACAAGAAACTTCCACGAGAAGTTTTATAGCTCTTTTAATCAGCCACCTGATGGTAAAAAAAGTTTTCTGATTACTCTTTTCCTTGAGTTATAAAATGTCGAAGAAAAAACGTAACGAAGTGACACAGTTTTTTGTACACCTCTTTCAGGGCACTTAGCACGTGCGAAAACTTTTCATATTAACAGGATTTTGAGTTTTCATCGATTATGCTCAGTGTACACAAGAATTAGGCTCTTACAACTTCTCAGGAGACCGGAAACTGTACAAATATGTACTGCTGATTTAAAGACCCTAACCGCAAAAGTTAGTAAGCCATTTTGTAGAGAATAAATTCTGCATCGAAGAACATGTCACTCAACTTCCTTTCGAATAATTTCTCGATTAGGAAATTCAAAATACGGTTTTTGAAAATCTCAAAACCCGATTTATGGAATCAAAAAATCCAACTTTTACGGAAAAAAAATTTTAGATTCGCGATCAGCGTCGAAAACTGCATCTATTCATGTATTCAGATCTATCGAGTTCGAAAATTGTTTTTTCAAAATACTTAATCAGCCAGCGCAGTCACGCGTTACGTGGACAAGCTAGAGAAAAGAAAAGAGAAGAAAATCGTGAGTTTTCCAGGTCGTTTTTCTCCTTTCACCGATTTCTTGCTTGTTTATTTCTTATTTTACTATTAATTTTTGTCACCCCGTCTGGATAGTACATCTTCCCGTCATTTCGAGATAAATCTTTTGGAAAAAGAATAAAAGAAAGAAGAAATGAACAGGCAAGAAGTCAGTGAAGGGAGAAAAAAAGACAAGAAAAAGTCACGATTTTCTTTTCTTTTCTGTTCCCGTTAAGTAGTAAAAACTCAGTAGATCTTGAATATTTTCTGTTTGTTTAATAACTTACGTTTTACTTTTGAATATTTCTCCATGAAGAGTTCAAATATCTGGATAAAAAGAAAACCAAATTAATAAATAAAATGAGTGCTGCTGTACAAAATATCTATTTTAATGTTAGTTTAGTTAAATGACTGTTTTTCTTGTAAATGCTCATTAAATGGTGGAACAAAACAGCATTGTCCTTCTCGGAATTAGGGCTTCCTCATGATCCTTTAGTCGATCCCCCATTAAATAGAAATGATAATCGCTTACCAAATCGAACAAAGATATTTTTAATAGTTATTGTATCAATATTGCTTATTGTATTAAGTTCAAGTGTCAAATTTATTTTATTCGAAAACCAAAAACCATATATACTGTCTACGAGTAGTTCCACCATGTCTACAGTATTAGTATCGTCAGTGATCAGTATTGTGTTAGGTAAGAAGCGGCTAGTGCCCTAGTGGTATTCCGTTCCATTCTTGCTGAGATCTGATCGCGAACGCGATGTTTTCTCGTGTAACGAAAAAATGCTAATCTTGGCAAAATAAAATCGCGATCTTATAATTGTAATCCCGTTCTTGATCAAGTTCATTATGAGATCCCGTTTGGTTTGTGATTCAAGAGTGTGACGGGATCGCGGCAGGATTATATTAGCAAGATCGTAGGTAATTCGCGACAAGATCTTGCGAAGATTTTTCCTTCGATTTTGTCCGGATCCCGTTTCAATCTGGCCGCGATCTTAGCAGGATTTCAGCGTGATCCCGTCAAAAACAATTTCGCGTCAAGATTGTGAAATTTTCGTTTGACTGGAGGACGTTATCTGTATTAGCAGATATCACTCGTTTTATAGCGTGTTCGACGAGCTCAAAATTTAACAAAACATAACTTTATATATATTCAAATGAAAGCGGCTTCCAAGTTCGTTCGTATGACGCAACAATAAAGCCTCTAGCACTTTCTACTTCTTTAACGTTCATGAAAAAATCCATCGAAAGAAAGTTAAAGATAACAAAGTTTTGAGCCATGCGGAATGGTGGTACGTTTAGTTTATATCTTTATTGATTCCTGATAAAGAAGGCCAGCGGTTAAATAACCATTGTAGGCCTAGCGATAATACAGATGGAAACAGTTGGTGAACATACTGACAAAAAATTTAAAAATAAAAAACA